TCGGATCCAGGCGGTGAAGGCGCAGACCCTGGTGTAGACCCCCGGCTTGCCCTGCTGGCCGCAGACCTGCATCCCCCAGGACACGATGCCCCTGCAGCTCCGCCCCGCACAGCAGGGGGCCCCCGGAGTCACCCTGAGGAAAGGGAGACCCCAAAAATGACCCCAGGGACCTCAATAACCCCATGGAGACCCCATGGAGACCACCAGGACCTCTGGGCTCATTATGGGACCATAAGAACCTTTGGGATCATCTTGAGACCCCAGTGACCCCATGGAGACCCCAATGACCCCAAAAACCCCATGGAGACCCCAATGACCCCATGGAGACCCCAATGACCCCATGGAGACCCCATGGAGACCACGAGGACCTTTGGGATCATCTCGAGACCCCAATGACCCCAATGACCCAATGGAGACCCCAATGACCCCAAAGACACCAATGGAGACCCCAATGACCCCATGGAGACCACCAGGACCTTTGGGGTCATATGAGACCCAGCAGAGACACCAATGACCCTGCAGCTCCGACCCGCATAGCAGGACCCTGGAATGACCCAATGGAGACCCCAATGACCCCATGGAGACCCCAATGACCCCATGGAGACCCCAATGACCCCATGGAGACCCCAATGACCTCATGGAGATCCCAATGACCCCAGAGACCCCAATGACCCCATGGAGACCCCCAGGACCTTTGGGGGTCATTATGGGATCACCAGGACACGATGCCCTGCAGCTCCGACCCGCACATCAGGGGACCCCAATGACCCCATGGGAAAGGGAGACCCCAATGAGCTCCAATGAGACCCTAATGACCCCAATGACCCCATGGAGACCCCAATGACCTCAGTGGAGACCCCAATGACCCCAAAGACCCCATGGAGACCCCAATGAGCTCAGGGAGACCCCAATGACCCAATGGAGACCCCAATGACCCAATGGAGACCCCAATGACCCCATGGAGACCCCAATGACCCCATGGAGACCCCAATGACCCCATGGAGACCCCAATGAGCTCAGGGAGACCCCCATGAGCTCAGGGAGACCCCAATGACCCCAAAACCCCATGGAGACCCCAATGAGCTCAGGGAGACCCCAATGACCCCAAAAACCCCATGGAGACCCCCTGGAGACCACCAGGACCTCTGGGGTCATTATGGGACCATAAGAACCTTTGGGATCATCTTGAGACCCCAATGACCCCATGGAGACCCCATGGAGACCACCAGGACCTTTGGGGTCATCTTGAGACCCCAATGACCCCATGGAGACCCCAATGACCCCATGGAGACCCCAATGACCCCATGGAGACCCCAATGACCTCATGGAGACCCCAATGACCCCATGGAGACCCCAATGATCTCATAAAGACCCCAATGACACCAATGGAGACCCCAATGACACCAATGGAGACCCCAATGACCCCATGGAGACCCCAATGACCCCATGGAGACCCCAATGAGCCCAATAGAGACCCCAATGACCCCATGGAGACCCCAATGACCCCATGGAGACCCCAATGACCCCATGGAGACCCCAATGACCCAATGGAGACCCCAATGACCCAATGGAGACCCCAATGACCCCATGGAGACCCCAAAGACCCCAATGACCCCATGGAGACCCCAATGACCCAATGGAGACCCCAATGACCTCATGGAGACCCCAATGACCCCATGGAGACTCTACAATGACCCCAATGACCCATGGAGACCCCAATGACCCCATGGAGACCCCAATGACCCCATGGAGACCCCAATGACCCCATGGAGACCCCAATGACCCCATGGAGACCGCATTGACCCCATGGAGACCCCAATGACCCAATGGAGACCCCAATGACCCCATGGAGACCCCAATGACCCCATGGAGACCCCAATGACCCAATGGAGACCCCAATGACCTTATGGGGTCATCCTGACCCCAATGACCCCATGGAGACTCCAATGACCCCATAAAGACCCCAATGATCCCATGGGGATTCCAATGACCCAATGGAGACCCCAATGATCCCATAGAGACCTCAATGACCCAATGGAGACCCCAATAACCCCATAAAGACCCCAATGACCCCATGGAGACCCCAACGACCTCATAAAGACCCCAATGACCCCATGGAGACCCCAATGACCACATGGAGACCCCAATGACCCCAGGAAGACCCCAATGACCCCATGGAGACCCCAATGACCCCAGGACGACCCCAATGACCTCATGGAGACCCCAATGACCCCATGGAGACCCCAATGACCCCATGGAGACTCCAATGACCCAATGGAGACCCCAATGACCCAATGGAGACCCCAATGACCCCATGGAGACCCCAATGACCCCAATGACCCCAATGACCCCATAGAGACCCCAATGACCCCATGGAGACCACAATGACCCCCAAAACCCCATGGAGACCCCAATGAGCTCAGGGAGATCCCAATGACTCAATGGAGACCCCAATGACCCCATGGAGACCCCAATGATCCAATGGAGACCCCAATGACCCCATGGAGACCCCAATGACCCCATGGAGACCCCAATGACCCAATGGAGACCTCAATGACCCCATGGAGACCCCAATGACCCCAATGGAGACCCCAATGACCCCATGGAAACCCCAATGACCCCATGGAGACCCCAATGACCCCATGGAAACCCCAATGACCCAATGGAGACCCCAATGACCCAATGGAGACCCCAATGACCCCATGGAGACCCCAATGACCCCATGGAGACCTCAATGACCCCATGGAGACCCCAATGACCCAATGGAGACCCCAATGACCCCATGGAGACCCCAATGACCCAATGGAGACCCCAATGACCCCATGGAGACCCCAATGACCCAATGGAGACCCCAATGACCCAATGGAGACCCCAATGACCCCATGGAGACCCCAATGACCCAATGGAGACCCCAATGACCTCATGGAGACCCCAATGACCCAATGGAGACCTCAATGACCCCATGGAGACCCCAGATGACCCATTGGAGACCCCAATGACCCCATGGAGACCCCAATGACCCCATGGAGACCCCAATGACCCCCAAAACCACATGGAGACCCCATGGAGACCACCAGGACCTTTGGGGTCATCTTGAGACCCCAATGACCCCATGGAGACCCCAATGACCTCAATGACCCCATGAGACCCCAATGACCCAATGGAGACCCCAATGACCCAATGGAGACCCCAATGACCCCATGGAGACCCCAATGACCCCAATGACCCCATGGAGACCCCAATGACCCCAATGACCCAATGGAGACCCCAATGACCCCATGGAGACCCCAATGACCCAATGGAGACCTAATGACCCATGGAGACCCCAATGACCCCATGGAGACCCCAATGACCCCATGGAGACCCCAATGACCCAATGGAGACCCCAATGACCCCATGGAGACCCCAATGACCCCATGGAGACCCCAATGACCCCATGGAGACCCCAATGACCTCATGGAGACCCCATGACCCATGGAGACCCCAATGACCCATGGAGACCCCAATGACCCCATGGAGACCCCAATGACCCCATGGAGACCCCAATGACCCAATGGAGACCCCAATGACCCCATGGAGACCCCAATGACCCCATGGAGACCCAATGACCCCAATGACCCAATGGAGACCCCAATGACCCCATGGAGACCCCAATGACCCCATGGAGACCCCAATGACCCCATGGAGACCCCAATGACCCCATGGAGACCCCAATGACCCCATGGAGACCCCAATGACCCAATGGAGACCCCAATGACCCCATGGAGACCCCAATGACCCCATGGAGACCCCAATGACCCCATGGAGACCCCAATGACCCCATGGAGACCCCAATGACCCAATGGAGACCCCAATGACCCCATGGAGACCTCAATGACCCAATGGAGACCCCAATGACCCCATGGAGACCCCAATGACCCCACAGAGACCCCAATGACCTCATGGAGACCCCAATGACCCAATGGAGACCCCAATGACCCCATAAAGACCCCAATGACCCCATGGAGACCCCAATGACCCCATGGAGACCCCAATGACTCCGTGGAGACCCCAATGACCCAATGACCCCAATGGAGACCCAATGACCCAATGGAGACCCCAATGACCCAATGGAGACCCCAATGACCCCATGGAGACCCCAATGACCCCATGAGACCCCAATGACCCCATGGAGACCCCAATGACCCCATGGAGACCCCAATGACCCAATGGAGACCTCAATGACCCCATGGAGACCCCAATGACCCCATGGAGACCTCAATGACCCCATGGAGACCCCAATGACCCCATGGAGACCCCAATGACCCAATGACCCCATGGAGACCCAATGACCCCATGGAGACCCTAATGACCCAATGGAGACCCCAATGACCCCATGGAGACCCCAATGACCCCATGGAGACCCCAATGACCCAATGGAGACCCCAATGACCCCGTGGAGACCCCAATGAGCCCATGGAGACCCCAATGACCCAATGGAGACCCCAATGACTCATGAGACCCCAATGACCCATGGAGACCCCAATGACCCCATGGAGACCCCAATGGAGACCCCAGGACCTCAGGGGTCACTATGAGATCACCACAATGACCCCATGGAGACCCCATGACACATGGGACCCCAATGACCCTGAATGGAGACCCCAAAATGACCCCAGTGACCTCAATAACCCCATGGAGACCCCAAAAATGACCCCAATGACCCCCAAAACCCCATGGAGACCACCAGGACCGTTGGGGTCATTATGGGACCACCAGGACCTTTGGGGTCATCTTGAGACCCCAATGACCCCATGGAGACCCCAATGACCCCATGGAGACCCCAATGACCCCATGGAGACCCCAATGAACCCATGGAGACCCCAATGACCCCAAAGACACCAATGGAGACCCCAATGGAGACCCCCAGGACCTTTGGGGTCATTATGGGATCAGCAGGACACGATGCCCCTGCAGCTCCGCCCCGCACAGCAGGGGACCCCGGAGTGACCCTGATGGAGACCCCAATGACCCCATGGAGACCCCAATGAGCCCATGGAGACCCCATGGAGACCCCAATGACCCCAATGACCCCATGGAGACCCCAATGACCCCATGGAGACCCCAATGACCCCAAAGACCCCATGGAGACCCCAATGGACCCCAATGGAGTCACTATGGACCATAAGACCTTGGGATCATCTTGAGACCCCAATGACCCCATGGAGACCCCAATGACCCCATGGAGACCCCAATGACCCCATGGAGACCCCAATGACCCCATGGAGACCCCAATGACCCATGAGACCCCAATGGAGACCCCAATGACCCAATGGAGACCCCAATGACCCCATGGAGACCCCAATGACCCCATGGAGACCCCAATGACCCCATGGAGACCCCAATGATCTCATGGAGACCCCAATGATCTCATGGAGACCTCAATGACCCCATGGAGACCCCAATGACCCAATGGAGACCCCAATGACCCCCAGGATGACCCCAATGACCCCCAACGACCCCCAGAATGACCTCAAAGACCCAATGAAACCCCAATGACCTCAATGACCCCATGGAGACCCCACTGACCCCATGGAGACCCCACTGACCCAATGGAGACCCCAATGACCCCATGGAGACCCCAATGACCCCCAATAACCCCCAGGATGTTCCCAATGATCCCCAATGACCCCAGGACGACCCCAATGACCCAATGGAGACCCCAATGACCCCAATGACCTCCAGGATGTTTCCAATGACCCCATGGAGACCCCAATGACCCCCAATGACCCCAGGACAACCCTAATGACCCCAACGACCCAATGAAGACCCCAATGACCCCAATGACCCAATAATGACCTAAATGACCTCCAGGATGTCCCCAATGACCCCAGGATGACCTCATGAAGACCCCAATGACCCAATGAAGACCCCAATAACCCAAATGACCCCAACGACCCCAGAACAAACCCAATGACCCAATAATGGCCCCAATGACCCAATAATGACCCCATTGACCACATGGAGACCCCAATGACCCCATGGAGACCCCAATGACCCCATGGAGACCCCAATGACCCCAATGACCCAATGAAGACCCCAATGAGCCCATGGAGAGCTCAACGACCCCATGGAGACCCCAATGACCCCCAATGACCCCATAAAGACCCTCAATTACCCCATGGAGACCCCAATGAACCCAATGACCCCACAGAGACCCCAATGACCCTCAATGACCTCCAGGATGTCCCCAAAAACCCCCAGAACGACCCCAAAGCCCCCCCCTTTTTTTACCTGGCAGGAGTCGGTGCCGCCGGAGTCGCCGCCGGCGCAGAGCATGGCGGGGGTGATGGCGCCGGGGTACAGGTGGGAACACACCTGGTTGGACAAGGTGAACACCACCCCGCACTGCAGCACGTCCGGGAAGTACCCTGGGACAGGTGGGGACAGGTGAGGGACAGGTGGGACAGGTGAGGGACAGGTGGGGACAGGTGAGGGATGGATGGGACAGGTGGGACAGGTGAGGGACAGGTGGGACAGGTGAGGGACAGGTGGGGGACAGGTGGGACAGGTGGGACAGGTGGGACAGGTGGGACAGGTGGGACAGGTGAGGGATGGATGGGACAGGTGGGGGACAGGTGGGACAGGTGGGACAGGTGGGAAAAGGTGGGACAGGTGAGGGATGGATGGGACAGGTGAGGGATGGATGGGACAGGTGAGGGACAGGTGGGGATGGATGGGACAGGTGAGGGATGGGTGGGACAGGTGAGGGATGGATGGGATGGATGGGACAGGTGGAAGTGGATGTGACAGGTGGGACAGGTGGAGATGGATGGGACAGGTGGGGATGGATGGGACAGGTGAGGGATGGATGGGACAGGTGGGACAGGTGAGGGACAGGTGGGAGAGGTGGGGACAGGTGAGGGACAGGTGGGACAGGTGGGACAGGTGGGGATGGATGGGACAGGTGAGGGATGGATGGGTGGGACAGGTGGGACAGGTGGGACAGGTGAAGGATGGATGGGACAGGTGGGACAGGTGGGGATGGATGGGACAGGTGGGGATGGATGGGACAGGTGAGGGACAGGTGGGGATGGATGGGACAGGTGAGAGATGGATGGGACAGGTGGGGATGGATGGGACAGGTGGGGATGGATGGGATGGATGGGACAGGTGGGACAGGTGGGGATGGATGGGATGGATGGGACAGGTGGGGACAGGTGGGGATGGATGGGACAGGTGGGACAGGTGGGGATGGATGGGACAGGTGGGGATGGATGGGATGGATGGGACAGGTGAGGGATGGATGGGACAGGTGGGACAGTGGGACAGGTGAGGGATGGATGGGACAGGTGGGGATGGATGGGACAGGTGGGACAGGTGAGGGATGGATGGGATGGATGGGACAGGTGAGGGATGGATGGGACAGGTGAGGATGGATGGGACAGGTGAGGGATGGATGGGACAGGTGGGGATGGATGGGACAGGTGAGGGATGATGGATGGGACAGGTGGGACAGGTGGGGACAGGTGGGACAGGTGGGGATGGATGGGACAGGTGGGGATGGATGGATGGGACAGGTGAGGGATGGATGGGACAGGTGGGGATGGATGGGACAGGTGAGGGATGGATGGGACAGGTGGGGACAGGTGGGACAGGTGAGGGACAGGTGGGACAGGTGAGGGACAGGTGAGGGACAGGTGGGACAGGTGGGGGACAGGTGAGGGACAGGTGGGACAAGGTGGGACAGGTGGGGATGGATGGGACAGGTGAGGGATGGATGGGACAGGTGAGGATGGATGGGACAGGTGAGGGACAGGTGGGACAGGTGAGGGACAGGATGGGACAGGTGGGACAGGTGAGGGATGGATGGGACAGGTGGGACAAGGTGGGACAGGTGAGGGATGGATGGGACAGGTGGGACAGGTGGGACAGGTGGGACAGGTGAGGGACAGGTGGGACAGGTGGGACAGGTGGGACAGGTGGGGGACAGGTGGGACAGGTGGGACAGGTGGGGATGGATGGGACAGGTGAGGGACAGGTGGGACAGGTGAGGGACAGGTGGGACAGGTGGGGATGGATGGGACAGGTCTGACAAGTAGGGATGGATGGGACAGGTGAGGGATGGATGGGACAGGTGAGGGACAGGTGGGGATGGATGGGACAGGTGGGATGGATGGGACAGGTGGGGATGGATGGGACAGGTGAGGGACAGGTGGGACAGGTGGGGGATGGATGGGACAGGTGGGGACAGGTGAGGGACAGGTGGGACAGGTGAGGGGATGGATGGGACAGGTGGGGATGGATGGGACAGGTGGGGGACAGGTGAGGGACAGGTGGGACAGGTGGGACAGGTGAGGGACAGGTGGGACAGGTGGGGGATGGATGGGACAGGTGGGGACAGGTGGGGATGGATGGGACAGGTGAGGGACAGGTGGGGACAGGTGAGGATGGATGGGACAGATGAGGGATGGATGGGACAGGTGAGGAGATGGGACAGGTGAGGGACAGGTGGGACAGGTGGGACGGATGGGATGGATGGGACAGGTGAGGGACAGGTGGGACAGGTGGGGGATGGATGGGACAGGTGAGGGACAGGTGGGACAGGTGAGGACAGAGTGGGACAGGTGGGACAGGTGGGACAGATGACAGATGAGATCAGGGATATGGGACAGGTGGGACAGGTGGGACAGGTGGGACAGGTGGGGGATGGATGGGACAGGTGAGGGACAGGTGGGACAGATGAGGGATAGATGGGACAGGTGGGACAGGTGAGGGACAGGTGGGACAGGTGAGGATGGATGGGACAGGTGAGGGACAGATGGGACAGGTGAGGATAGATGGGACAGGTGGGACGGGTGAGGGACAGGTGGACAGGTGGGGATGGATGGGACAGGTGAGGGACAGGTGGGACAGGTGAGAGACAGGTGGGACAGGTGGGGATGGATGGGACAGGTGAGGGATAGGTGGGACAGGTGGGACAGGTGAGGGACAGGTGGGACAGGTGAGGGACAGGTGAGGGACAGGTGGGACAAGGTGGGACAGGTGTGGGATGGATTGGACAGGTGTGGATGGATGAGGACAGGTGTGTCATTTACCCCAGGTGTGACAGGTGGGGATGGATGGGACAGGTGGGAGATGGATGGGACAGGTGAGGATGGATGGGACAGGTAAGGAACAGGTGAGGATGGATCAAGACAGGTGGGGGATGGATGGGACAGGTGAGGATGGATGGGACAGGTGAGAGATGGATGGGACAGGTAAGGGACAGGTGTGACAGATGGGGATGGATCAGGACAGGTGTGCATGGATGGGACAGGTGGGACAGGTGACCCTGATATGACAGGTGGGACAGGTGACCCCAGGTGTGACAGGTGGGGATGGATCAGGACAGGTGGGACAGGTGAGGATGGATGGAACAGGTGTGAGATGGATGGGACAGGTGTGACATTTACCCCAGGTGGGACAGGTGGGGATGGACGTGACAGGTGACCCCAGGTGACCCCAGGTGTGACAGGTGTGGATGGATTGGGACAGGTGTGTCATTTACCCCAGGTGTGACAGGTGGGGATGGATGGGACAGGTGGGACAGTTGGGGATGGATGGGACAGGTGGGACATTTACCCCAGGTGTGACAGATGTGGATGGATCAGGACAGGTGTGACAGGTGGGGATGGAGGGGACAGGTGAGGGATGGATGGGACAGGTGGGATAGGATGAGGGACAGGTGGGACAGGTGGGACAGGTGGGACAGGTGGGACAGGTGAGAGATGGATTAGACAGGTGAGGGATGGATGGGACAGGTGGGGATGGATGGGACAGGTGGGACAGGTGAGGGACAGGTGGGACAGGTGAGGGACAGGTGGGGATGGATGGGACAGGTGAGGGATGGATGGGACAGGTGGTGATGGATGTTACAGGTGGGGATGGATGGGACAGGTGGGACAGGTGAGGGACAGGTGGGACAGGTGAGGGACAGGTGGGGATGGAGGGGACAGGTGAGGGATGGATGGGACAGGTGAGAGATGGATGGGACAGGTGGGGATGGATGGGACAGGTGGGACAGGTGAGGGACAGGTGGGACAGGTGGGACAGGTGAGGGATGGATGGGACAGGTGGGGATGGATGGGACAGGTGGTGATGGATGTTACAGGTGGGGATGGATGGGACAGGTGGGGATGGATGGGACAGGTGAGAGATGGATGGGACAGGTGAGGGATGGATGGGACAGGTGGGGATGGATGTGACAGGTGACCCCAGGTGTGACAGGTGTGGATGGATGAGGACAGGTGTGTCATTTACCCCAGGTGTGACAGGTGTGGATGGATCAGGACAGGTGTGTCATTTGACAGGTGTGTGACAGGTGGGGATGGATCAGGACAGGTGTGACATTTACCCCAGGTGTGACAGGTGGGGATGGATGAGGACAGGTGTGTCATTTACCCCAGGTGTGACAGGTGGGGATGGATCAGGACAGGTGAGGATGGATGAGACAGGTGTGTCAGTTGACCCCAGGTGTGTCATTTACCCCAGGTGTGACAGTTGACCCCAGGTGTGACAGGTATGACCCCCCACCCCCCCCCATCCTCACCTTGCGGGCTGCTGGTGCTCCCCCACCCGGACACCACGCACCTCTCCCCGTCGCGGGGGCACCTGCGGGGCAGGGGGGCGGGGCTGACGTGGGCGCTCAGGTGGGCGGGGCGGCGCAGGCGCAGCAGCATCAGGTCGCTGTCGTGGCTGGTGACGTTGTAGCGGGGGTGGACGATGGCGCGCGCCCAGGTGAGGCACTGCTCGGTGCCCTCCCGCGCCCGCAGGCTGTGCTCGCCCAGCCGGATCGACAGGGGGCTGCGCAGGTGGGACAGGTGACCATTTACACACCCCCAGGTGAGCATTTACACCCCCCAGGTGTGTGCATTTACACCCCCCAGGTGAGCATTTACACCCCCAGGTGTGTCCCTGCTCGGTGCCCTCCCCCGCCCGCAGGCTGTGCTCGCCCAGCCGGATCGACAGGGGGCTGCGCAGGTGGGACAGGTGACAATTTACACACCCCAGGTGAGCATTTACACCCCCAGGTGTGTCCCAGGTGAGTATTTACACCCCCAGGTGAGTATTTACACCCCCAGGTATGTCCCAGGTGAGTATTTACACCCCCAGATGAGTATTTACACCCCCAGGTGTGTCCCAGGTGAGTATTTACACCCCCAGGTGTGTGTTTGTCACCCCCAGGTGAGTATTTACACCATCCAGGGGAGCATTTAAACCCCCCAGGTGCGTCTTTGTCACCTCTAGGTGTGTATTTACACCCCCAGTTGTGTCCCAGGTGTGTCCCAGGTGAGCATTTACACCCCCAGGTGAGTATTTACACCCCCAGGTGAGCATTTACACCCCCCAGGTGTGTCCCAGGTGTGTATTTACACCCCCAGGTGAGTATTTACACCCCCAGGTGTGTCCCAGGTGTGTCCCAGGTGTGTATTTGTCACCCCCAGGTGTGTCCCAGGTGTGTATTTACACCCCCAGGTGAGTATTTACACCCTCCAGGTGAGTATTTACACCCCCAGGTGAGTATTTACACCCCCAGGTGTGTCCCAGGTGAGTATTTACACCCCCAGGTGAGTATTTACACCCCCAGGTGAGTATTTACACCCCCAGGTGAGTATTTACACCCCCAGGTGTGTATTTACACCCCCCAGGTGAGTATTTACACCCCCCCAGGTGAGTATTTACACCCCCAGGTGAGTATTTACACCCCCAGGTGTGTCCCAGGTGTGTATTTACACCCCCAGGTGTGTATTTACCCCCCCAGGTGAGTATTTACACCCCCAGGTGTGTCCCAGGTGAGTATTTACACCCCCAGGTGAGTGTTTGTCACCCCCAGGTGTGTCCCAGGTGAGTATTTACACCCCCAGGTGTGAGCATTTACACCCCCAGGTGTGTATTTACACCCCCAGGTGTGTCCCAGGTGTGTATTTACACCCCCAGGTGAGTATTTACACCCCCAGGTGTGTATTTACACCCCCAGGTGTGTATTTACACCCCCAGGTGTGTCCCAGGTGTGTATTTGACACCCCCAGGTGAGTATTTACACCCCCAGGTGTGCCCCAGGTGAGTATTTACACCCCCAGGTGAGTATTTACACCCTCCAGGTGAGTATTTACACCCCCCAGGTGAGTATTTACACCCCCAGGTGAGTATTTACACCCCCAGGTGAGTATTTACACCCCCAGGTGTGTCCCTGCTCGGTGCCCTCCCGCGCCCGCAGGCTGTGCTCGCCCAGCCGGATCGACAGGGGGCTGCGCAGGTGGGACAGGTGACAATTTACACACCCCCAGGTGAGCATTTACACCCCCAGGTGTGTCCCAGGTGTGTCCCAGGTGAGCATTTACAACCCCCAGGTGTGTCCCAGGTGAGTATTTACACCCCCAGGTGAGTATTTACACCCCCAGGTGAGCATTTACACCCCCAGGTGTGTCCCAGGTGAGTATTTACACCCCCCCAGGTGTGTATTTACACCCCCCAGGTGAGCATTTACACCCCCAGGTGTGTCCCAGGTGTGTCCCTGCTCGGTGCCCTCCCGCGCCCGCAGGCTGTGCTCGCCCAGCCGGATCGACAGGGGGCTGCGCAGGTGGGACAGGTGACAATTTACACACCCCAGGTGAGCATTTACACCCCCAGGTGTGAGTATTTACACCCCCAGGTGTGTCCCAGGTGAGTATTTACACCCCCAGGTGTGAGTATTTACACCCCCAGGTGAGTATTTACACCCCCAGGTGTGTCCCAGGTGAGTATTTACACCCCCAGGTGAGTATTTACACCCCCCAGGTGAGTAAATACTCACCTGGGGGTGTCCCAGGTGAGTATTTACACACCCCAGGTGAGCATTTACACCCCCAGGTGAGCATTTACACCCCCCAGGTGAGTATTTACACCCCCAGGTGTGTCCCAGGTGAGTATTTACACCCCCCCAGGTGAGTATTTACACCCCCAGGTGAGTATTTACACCCCCAGGTGTGTCCCAGGTGTGTATTTACACCCCCAGATGAGTATTTACACCCCCAGGTATGTGTTTGTCACCCCCAGGTGTGTTCCAGGTGAGTATTTACACCCCCCAGGTGAGCATTTACACCCCCAGGTGTGTCCCAGGTGTGAGTGGGTGTGTCCCAGGTATCAGTGGGTGTGTCCCAGGTGTGAGTGGGTGTGTCCCAGGTGTCAGTGGGTCTGTCCCAGGTGTCAGTGGGCGTGTCCCAGGTGTCAGTGGGTGTGTCCCAGGTGTGAGTGGGTGTGTCCCATGACCCGTGGGTGTGTCCCAAGACCCGTGGGCGTGTCCCAGGTGTGAGTGGGCGTGTCCCAGGTGTGAGTGGGTGTGTCCCAGGTGTCAGTGGGTGTGTCCCAGGTGTCAGTGGGTGTGTCCCATTCCCCGTGGGTGTGTCCCAGGTGTGAGTGGGCGTGTCCCAGGTGTCAGTGGGCGTGTCCCAGGTGTGAGTGGGTGTGTCCCAGGTGTGAGTGGGTGTGTCCCAGGTGTGAGTGGGTGTGTCCCAGGTGTCAGTGGGTGTGTCCCAGGTGTGAGTGGGTGTGTCCCAGGTGTCAGTGGGTGTGTCCCATCTCCCGTGGGTGTGTCCCAGGTGTCAGTGGGTGTGTCCCAGGTGTCAGTGGGTGTGTCCCAGGTGTGTCCCAGGTGTCAGTGGGTGTGTCCCAGGTGTGAGTGGGTGTGTCCCATGACCCGTGGGTGTGTCCCAGGTGTCAGTGGGTGTGTCCCAGGTGTCAGTGGGTGTGTCCCAGGTTTGAGTGGGCGTGTCCCAGGTGTCAGTGGGTGTGTCCCAGGTGTGTCCCAGGTGTGAGTGGGCGTGTCCCAGGTGTGAGTGGGTGTGTCCTAGGTGTAAGTGGGTGTGTCCCAGGTGTGAGTGGGTGTGTCCCAGGTGTCAGTGGGTGTGTCCCCGTCCCCCGTGGGTGTGTCCCAGGTGTGAGTGGGTGTGTCCCAGGTGTCAGTGGGTGTGTCCCAGGTGTGAGTGGGTGTGTCCCATGACCCGTGGGTGTGTCCCAGGTGTGAGTGGGTGTGTCCCAGGTGTGAGTGGGTGTGTCCCAGGTGTGAGTGGGTGTGTCCCCATCCCCCGTGGGTGTGTCCCAGGTGTCAGTGGGTGTGTCCCAGGTGTCAGTGGGTGTGTCCCAGGTGTGTCCCCATCCCCATGGGCGTGTCCCAGGTGTGTCCCCTCCCCCGTGGGCGTGTCCCAGGTGTGAGTGGGTGTGTCCCCAGGTGTGTCCCCTCCCCCGTGGGCGTGTCCCATGACCCATGGGTGTGTCCCAGGTGTCAGTGGGTGTGTCCCCGTCCCCCGTGGGTGTGTCCCAGGTGTCAGTGGGTGTGTCCCATCCCCCGTGGGTGTGTCCCAGGTGTGAGTGGGCGTGTCCCCTCCCCCGTGGGCGTGTCCCATGACCCGTGGGTGTGTCCCAGGTGTGTCCCAGGTGTGGGTGGGCGTGTCCCTTACCTGTGGGTGTGGCAGTGGGCGGCGGTCAGCACCCAGTACCAACCAATCAGGTGTCAGTGGTTGTGTCCCCTCCCCCATGGGCGTGTCCCAGGTGTGTCCCCTCCCCCCGTGGGCGTGTCCCATGACCCGTGGGTGTGTCCCAGGTGTCAGTGGGTGTGTCCCCTCCCCCGTGGGCGTGTCCCATGACCCGTGGGTGTGTCCCACGTGTGTCCCCTCCCCCGTGGGCGTGTCCCTTACCTGTGGGTGTGGCAGTGGGCGGCGGTCAGCACCCAGCGGCGGCCAATCAGGACCCCCCCGCAGTGAATGGCCCCGCCCTGGTCCAGCAGCACGGCCTGGTGGGGGTGGAGCCTCCGCTCGCACTTCTCCCCCCCCACGATGCGGGTCTCGTCCCCCGCCGAGCCTGACGGGACACCAGTTCAAACCAGTATAAACCAGTATAGACCAGTGACCCCCAAAATGCTCTCCCAGTTCAGCCCAGTTCACACCAGTTCAGCCCAGTTCAGCCCAGGACCCTCAAAGCGCTCTCCCAGTTCACACCAGTAGAAACCAGTACAAACCAGGGACCCCAAAATGCTCTCCCAGTTCAGCCCAGTGCACACCAGTTCATCCCAGTTCAGCCCAGTGCACACCAGTTCAGCCCAGTTCAGCCCAGTGCACACCGCTCGCACTTCTCCCCCCCCACGATGCGGTTCTCGTCCCCCGCCGAGCCTGCCGGGACACCAGTTCAAACCAGTATAGACCAGTATAAACCAGTACACACCAGGGACCCCAAAATGCTCTCCCAGTTCAGCCCAGTGCACACCAGTTCAGCCCAGTTCAGCCCAGTGCACACCAGTTCAGCCCAGTGCACACCAGTTCAGCCCAGTGCACACCGCTCGCGCTTCTCCCCCCCCACGATGCGGGTCTCGTCCCCCGCCGAGCCTGACGGGACACCAGTTCAAACCAGTATAGACCAGTGACCTCAAAATGCTCTCCCAGTTCACACCAGTATAAACCAGTACAGCATCAGGGACCCCCAAATGACCTCCCAGTTCAGCCCAGTGCAGCCCAGTTCAGCCCAGTTCAGCCCAGGGCCCTCGAAGTGCCCACCCAGTTCACACCAGTATAAACCAGTACACACCAGGGACCCCAGGGGGCCCTCAAAGTGCCCTCCCAGTTCACACCAGTTCAAACCAGTATAAACCAGTAAGCACCGGTGAGCTCAAAATGCTCTCCCAGTTCAGCCCAGTTCACACCAGTTCAGCCCAGTTCATCCCAGGGCCCTCAAAGTGCCCTCCCAGTTCATCCCAGTGGCCTCAAAGTGCTCTCCCAGTTCAGCCCAGGGCACCCCAGTTCAACCCAGTGCCCTCCCAGTTCAGCCCAGTGATCTCAAAATGCTCTCCCAGTTCAGCCCAGTGCACACCAGTTCAGCCCAGTGCCCTCCCAGTTCAGCCCAGTGATCTCAAAGTGCTCTCCCAGTTCACACCAGTATAAACCAGTATAAACCAGTACACACCAGGGACCCCAAAATGCTCTCCCAGTTCAGCCCAGTGCACACCAGTTCAGCCCAGTGGCCTCAAAATGCTCTCCCAGTTCACACCAGTTCAAACCAGTACACACCAGTGACCCCAGGGGGCCCTCAAAGTGCCCTCCCAGTTCAGCCCAGTTCAGCCCAGTTCATCCCAGTGGCCTCAAAGTGCTCTCCCAGTTCAGCCCAGTGATCCCAAAATGCTCTCCCAGTTCACACCAGTTCAAACCAGTACACACCAGGGACCCCAGGGGGCCCTCAAAATGCCCTCCCAGTTCACACCAGTTCAAACCAGTACACACCAGTGACCCCAAAATGCCCTCCCAGTTCACACCAGTTCAAACCAGTACACACCAGTGACCCCAAAATGCTCTCCCAGTTCAGCCCAGTTCATCCCAGTTCCCCTCCCAGTGCTCCCAGTTCACCCCAGTTCATCCCAGTTCCCTTCCCAGTGCTCCCAGTTCATCCCAGTTCCCTCCCAGTGCTCCCAGTTCCCCTCCCAGTGCTCCCAGTTCATCCCAGTGTTCCCAGTTCCCCTCCCAGTGCTCCCAGTTCCTCTCCCAGTGCTCCCAGTTCCCCTCCCAGTGCTCCCAGTCCCCTCCCAGTGCTCCCAGTTCCCCTCCCAGTGCTCCCAGTTCCCCTCCCAGTGCTCCCAGTTCCCCTCCCAGTGCTCCCAGTTCCCCTCCCAGTGTTCCCAGTTCCCTCCCAGTGCTCCCAGTAACCTCCCAGTTGCTCCCAGTAACCTCCCAGTCCCTCTCAGTTACTCCCAGTAACCTTCCAGTTGCTCCCAGTAACCTCCCAGTCCCTCCCAGTTACCCCAGTACCTCCCAGTTGCTCCCAGTACCTCCCAGTTGCTCCCAGTACCTCCCAGTGCTCCCAGTGCTCCCAGTTCCCCTCCGTGCCAGTCCTCAGTTCCTCCCAGTGCTTCCCAGTTCCCCTTCCCAGTGCTCCCAGTTCCCCTCCCAGTGCTCCCAGTTCACCCCAGTTCATCCCAGTTCCCCTCCCAGTGCTCCCAGTTCACCCCAGTTCATCCCAGTGCTCCCAGTTCCTCCCAGTGCTCCCAGTTCCTCCCAGTCCCTCCCAGTCCATTCCCAGTTCCCTCCCAGTGCTCCCAGTTCCTCCCAGTGCCTCCCAGTTCATCCCAGTGCCTCCCAGTTCACTCCCAGTTCATCCCAGTCCCTCCCAGTGCCTCCCAGTTCACTCCCAGTGCATCCCAGTTCCCCTCCCAGTGCCTCCCAGTTCCCTCCCAGTGCTCCCAGTTCAGCCCAGTGCCTCCCAGTCCCCTCCCAGTGCCTCCCAGTTCCTCCCAGTGCTCCCAGTTCCCTCCCAGTGCCTCCCAGTTGCCCTCCCAGTGCTCCCAGTTCCCCTCCCAGTGCTCCCAGTTCCTCCCAGTTCGCTCCCAGTCCCCTCCCAGTGCTCCCAGTCCCCTCCCAGTGCTCCCAGTCCCTCCCAGTGCTCCCAGTCCTCCCAGTCCTCCCAGTGCTCCCAGTCCCTCCCAGTGCTCCCAGTTCCTCCCAGTGCCTCCCAGTTCACCCCAGTACTCCCAGTCCCTCCCAGTGCCTCCCAGTTCATCCCAGTCCCTCCCAGTGCTCCCAGTTCATCCCAGTTGGCCTCCCAGTTCCCCTCCCAGTGTCTCCCAGTTCCTCCCAGTGCCTCCCAGTTCCCTCCCAGTGCTCCCAGTCCCCTCCCAGTGCCTCCCAGTTCCTCCCAGTGCCTCCCAGTTCACCCCAGTTCATCCCAGTTCCCCTCCCAGTGCTCCCAGTTCCCCTCCCAGTTGCTCCCAGTGACCTCTCGCTTCCCACCCACTGCCTCCCAGTTGCTCCCAGTAACCTCCCAGTTGCTCCCAGTAACCTCCCAGTAACCTCCCAGTCCCTCCCAGTGCTCCCAGTTCCCTCCAGTGCCCCCAGTCCCTCCCAGTCCCTCCCAGTCCTCCCAGTTCCTCCCAGTTCCCTCTCCCAGTCCCTCCCAGTTCCTCCCAGTGCCTCCCAGTTGCCTCCCAGTGCTCCCAGTTCCTCCCAGTTCCCCTCCCAGTGCTCCCAGTTCCCCTCCTAGTGCTCCCAGTTCCCCTCCCAGTGCTCCCAGTTCATCCCAGTTCATCCCAGTTCATCCCAGTCCCTCCCAGTTCCCCTCCCAGTGCTCCCAGTTCATCCCAGTTCATCCCAGTTCATCCCAGTCCCTCCCAGTTCCCCTCCCAGTGCTCCCAGTGACCTCTCGCTTCCCACCCACTGCCTCCCAGTTGCTCCCAGTAACCTCCCAGTCCTCCCAGTTCCCTCCCAGTTGCTCCCAGTTCCCTCCCAGTTGCTCCCAGTAACCTCCCAGTTGCTCCCAGTAACCTCCCAGTCCCTCCCAGTGCTCCCAGTTCCCCCTCTGGGGCCCCCAGTCCCTCCCAGTCCCCTTCCAGTATTCCCAGTTCCCCTCCCAGTTCCCCCTCTGGGGCCCCCAGTCCCTCCCAGTTCCCTCCCAGTGCCCCCAGTTGACCCTCCCAGTATCACCAGTTCCACCCGACGATGGCCTCCCACTCACCCCAGTTCCCTCCCAGTTCAGCCCAGTGTCCCCAGTTCACCTCTGGCTCCCTCCCAGTATGTCCCAGTGGCCTCCCAGTTCCCCTCCCAGTGGCCTCCCAGTTCAGACCAGTTCAGCCCAGTCCCTTCCCAGTGCCTCCCAGTTCAGCCCAGTCCTTCCCAGTGCCTCCCAGTTCAGCCCAGTTCAGCCCAGTCCCTTCCCAGTGTCACCCAGTTCAGCCCAGTCCCTTCCCAGTTCAGCCCAGTCCCTTCCCAGTGCCTCCCAGTTCAGCCCAGTGCCCCCAGTTCACCTCTGGCTCCCTCCCAGTATGTCCCAGTGGCCTCCCAGTTCAGACCAGTGCCCCCAGTTCAGCCCAGTCCCTCCCAGTCCATCCCAGTGTCTCCCAGTTCAGCCCAGTCCGTTCCCAGTGCCTCCCAGTTCAACCCAGTGCATTCCCAGTGCCTCCCAGTTCAACCCAGTGCCTTCCCAGTGCCTCCCAGTTCAGCCCAGTCCATTCCCAGTCGCCCAGTCAATCCCAGTTCAGCCCAGTCCCTTCCCAGTCCCTCCCAGTGCACTCCCAGTGCCTCCCAGTGCCATCCCAGTGCCTCCCAGTTCACTCCCCAGTGCCTCCCAGTTCAGTCCCAGTGCCCCCAGTTCCTCCCAGTGCTCCTCCCAGTCACATCCCAGTGCCTCCCAGTTGCCTCCCAGTGCCTCCAGTTCACTCCCAGTCCTCCCAGTGCATCCCAGTGCCTCCCAGTTGCTCCCAGTTCCTCCCAGTCCCTTCCCAGTGCCTCCCAGTTCAGTCCCAGTCCTCCCAGTCGCCTCCCAGTGCCTCCCAGTCCATCCCAGTCCATTCCCAGTGCCTTCCCAGTTGCCTCCCAGTCCCTCCCAGTGTCACCCAGTTCATCCCAGTCCACTCCCAGTGCTCCCCAGTTCCTCCCAGTTCCTTCCCAGTGCCTCCCAGTTCATCCCAGTGCCTCCCAGTGCCCTCCCAGTGCCTCCCAGTCCATCCCAGTCCCTCCCAGTGCCTCCCAGTCCCTCCCAGTGCCTCCCAGTCCCTCCCAGTGCCCCTAGTCCCTCCCAGTGCCTCCCAGTCCCTCCCAGTGCCTCCCAGTCCTCTCCCAGTGCCTCCCAGTCCCTCCCAGTGCCCCCAGTCCCTCCCAGTGCCTCCCAGTGCCTCCCAGTGCCTCCCAGTCCCTCCCAGTGCCTCCCAGTCCCTCCCAGTGCCCCCAGTCCCTCCCAGTGCTCCCAGTCCCTCCCAGTGCCTCCCAGTCCCTCCCAGTGCCTCCCAGTCCCTCCCAGTGCCTCCCAGTCCCTCCCAGTGCCTCCCAGTCCCTCCCAGTGCCTCCCAGTGCCCCCAGTCCTCCCAGTCCCTCCCAGTGCCCCCCAGTCCCCTCCCAGTGCCTCCCAGTCCCCCAAGTCCCCTCCCAGTGCCTCCCAGTCCTCCCAGTGCCCCCAGTCCCTCCCAGTGCCTCCCAGTCCCTCCCAGTGCCCCAATCCCCTCCCAGTGCCTCCCAGTCCTCCCAGTCCCCCAATCCTCCCAGTCCCCCAATCCTTCTCCCAGTCGCTCCCAGTCGCCTCCCAGTCGCTCCCAGTGCCTCCCAGTCCCTCCCAGTGGCCAGCGCCAGTGCCTCCCAGTAGTCCCCTCCAGCACTCTCCCAGTCCCTCCCAGTACCCCCCAGTCCCTCCCAGTGCCTCCCAGTGCCTCCCAGTCCCCTAGTCCTCTCCCAGTGCCCCCAGTGCTCTCAGTCTCCCCAGTGCGGCTCCCAGTGCCCTCAGTTGCTCCCAGTGCCTCCCAGTGCCCCCAGTCCCCTCCCAGTGCCTCCCAGTACCCTCCCAGTCCCCTCCCAGTCGCCTCCCAGTTGCTTCCCAGTCCCTCCCAGTCCCTCCCAGTGCCTCCCAGTCCCCTCCCCAGTCCCTCCCAGTCGCTCCCAGTGCCCCCAGTCCTTCTCCCAGTGCCTCCCAGTCTCCAGTCCCAGTGCCCCCAGTCCCTCCCAGTTCGCTCCCAGTGCCTCCCAGTGCCTCCCAGTCCCTCCCAGTGCCTCCCAATCCGCTCCCAGTGCCTCCCAGTCCCTCCCAGTCCCTCCCATTCCTCCCAGTGCCTCCCAGTCTCTCCCAGTCCCCTCCCAGTCGCTCCCAGTCGCCTCCCAGTGCCTCCCAGTGCCTCCCAGTGCCTCCCAGTCCCCCCAATCCTCCCAGTCCTCCCAGTGCCCCCAGTCCCTCCCAGTGCCTCCCAGTGCCTCCCAGTGCCCTCCAGTCCCTCCCAGTGCCCCCAGTCCTCTCCCAGTCCCTCCCAGTCGCCTCCCAGTCGCTCCCAGTGCCTCCCAGTGCCTCCCAGTGCCTCTCAGTCCCTCCCAATCCTCCCAGTCTCTCCCAGTGCCCCCAATCCCATCCCAGTGCCTCCCAGCACTCCCAGTGCCCTCCCAGTTCACTCCAGTGCCCTAGCCTGTCTCCCATCCCTCCCAGTCGCTCCCAGTGCCTCCCAGTCCTCCCAGTCCCTCCAGTGGACAGTCCCAGCAGCTCCCAGTGCCCCAGTCCCCTCCCAGTGCCTCCCAGTCCTTCCCAGTCCTCCCAATCCTTCTCCCAGTGCCTCCCAGTCCTCAGCAGTGCTGAGCCCCAGTGCCCTCCCAGTTGCTCCCAGTGCCTCCCAGTGCCTCCCAGTCGCTCCCAGTCCTCCCAGTGCCTCCCAGTCCCTCCCAGTGCCCCCAATCCTCCCAGTCCTCTCCCAATCCTCCCAGTGCTCCCAATCCCTCCCAGTGCCCTCCCAGTTCCTCCCAGTCGCCCCAGTCCTTTCTCCCATCCTCCCAGTGCCTCCCAGTCGCTCCCAGTGCCTCCCAGTCCTTCCCAGTCCCCCAGTCCCTCCTAGTGCCTCCCAGTGCTCTCCCAGTCCCTTCAGTGCCTCCCAGTCCCCCAATCCCCTCCCAGTGCCTCCCAGTGCCCCCAATTCCCTCCCAGTCCTCCCAGTCCCTCAGTCTTTCTCAGTCCTCCCAGTGGCCTCCCAGTCCCTCCCAGTGCCTCCCAGTCCTTCCCAGTGCCCCCAATCCCTCCCAGTGCCTCCCAGTCCTCCCAGTGCCTCCCAGTCCCCCCAGTCCCCTCCCAGTGCCTCCCAGTGCCCCCAATCCTCAGTCCCTCCAGTCCTTTCTCCCAGTCCCTCCCAGTGCTCCCAGTCTCTCCCAGTCGCTCCCAGTGCCTCCCAGTCTCACCAGTGCCAGCCCCAGTGCCCTCCCAGTTCTCCCAGTCGCTTCCCAGTGCCCCCAATCCCCTCCCAGTGCCTCCCAGTCGCTCCCAATCCTCCCAGTGCCTCCCAATCCCCAGCGCCTCCCAGTCGCTCCCAGTGCCAGCCTTTCTCCCCAGTCCCTCCCAGTGGCTCCCAGTCGCTCCCAGTGCCTCCCAGTCCTTCCCAGTCCCCCAATCCCTCCCAGTGCCTCCCAGTCTCTCCCAGTGCCTCCCAGTCCCCTCCCAGTCCCCCCACTCCTCCCAGTACCCCCAATCTCCTCCCAGTGCCCACCAATCCCTCCAGCCTTTCTCCCATCCCTCCCAGTCTCTCCCAGTTGCTCCCAGTCGCTCCCAGTCTCACCAGTGGCCAGCGCCAGCAGACCCAGTACGAGCGGCAGCGTCTCCATGGGCCGAGGAGGAGGAGGAGGAGGCAGGAGGAGGAGGAGGAGGAGGAGGAGGAGGAGGAAGAGGCGGCGGCTCCTTTAAGAAAAAAAGGGGCCCCTTTGGGAGCCGCCCGGGCCGGTCCGGCCGCTGAGCCGCGCCCAGTTCAGCCCAGTACGCTCCCAGTTCAGCCCAGTTCAGCCCAGTTCAGCCAGGGGCGCTGCCAGTTCAGCCCAGTTCAGCCCGGGGTGCTCCCGGGGCACTCCCAGTTCAGCCCAGTGCGCTCCCAGTTCAGCCCGGGGTGCTCCTGGGGCACTCCCAGTTCAGCCCAGTACGCTCCCAGTTCAGCCCAGTGCGCTCCCAGTTCAGCCCAGTGCGCTCCCAGTTCAGCCCAGTGCGCTCCCAGTTCAGCCCAGTTCAGCCCGGGTGCTCCCAGGCACTCCCAGTTCAGCCCAGTACGCTCCCAGTTCAGCCCAGTTCAGCCCGGGGCGCTCCCAGTTCAGCCCAGTTCAGCCCAGTACGCTCCCAGTTCAGCCCAGTTCAGCCCGGGGCACTCCCAGTTCAGCCCAGTTCAGCCCAGTTCAGCCCGGGGTGCTCCCAGTGCACTCCCAGTGCGCTCCCAGTTCAGCCCAGTGCGCTCCCAGTTCAGCCCAGTTCAGCCCGGGTACCCAGTGCACTCCCAGTTCAGCCCCAGTTCAGCCCAGTTCAGCCCAGGGCACTCCAGTTCAGCCCAGTGCGCTCCCAGTTCAGCCCAGTTCAGCCCGGGTGGCACTCCCAGTTCAGCCCAGTGCGCTCCCAGTTCAGCCCAGTTCAGCCCAGTGCGCTCCCAGTTCAGCCCAGTGCGCTCCCAGTTCAGCCCAGTTCAGCCCGGGGTGCTCCCGGGGCACTCCCAGTTCAGCCCAGTGCGCTCCCAGTTCAGCCCAGTGCGCCCAGTTCAGCCCAGTGCACTCCCAGTTCAGCCCAGTGCGCTCCCAGTTCAGCCCAGTTCAGCCCGGGGCACTCCCAGTGAGCTCCCAGTTCAGCCCAGTTCAGCCCAGTGCGCTCCCAGTTCAGCCCAGTTCAGCCCAGTTCAGCCAGGGGCACTCCCAGTGAGCTCCCAGTTCAGCCCAGTTCAGCCCAGTACGCTCCCAGTTCAGCCCAGTTCAGCCCGGGGCGCTCCCGGGGCACTCCCAGTTCAGCCCAGTACGCTCCCAGTTCAGCCCAGTTCAGCCCAGTTCAGCCCGGGGTGCTCCCGGGGCACTCCCAGTTCAGCCCAGGTGCTCCCAGTTCAGCCCAGTTCAGCCCGAGTGTCCCAGGCACTCCAGTTCAGCCCAGTGCGCTCCCAGTTCAGCCCAGTTCAGCCCGGGGTGCTCCCGGGGCACTCCCAGTTCAGCCCAGTACGCTCCCAGTTCAGCCCAGTTCAGCCCGGGGCACTCCCAGTACGCTCCCAGTTCAGCCCAGTACGCTCCCAGTTCAGCCCAGTTCAGCCCAGTGCTGCTCCCAGTGCGCTCCCAGTTCAGCCCAGTGCGCTCCCAGTTCAGCCCAGTTCAGCCCAGTTCAGCCCGGGGTACTCCCACTGCGCTCCCAGTTCAGCCCAGTGCGCTCCCAGTTCAGCCCAGTGCGCTCCCAGTTCAGCCCAGTTCAGCCCGGGGCACTCCCAGTGCGCTCCCAGTTCAGCCCAGTTCAGCCCAGTGCGCTCCCAGTTCAGCCCAGTGCTCCAGTTCAGCCCAGTTCAGCCAGGGCACTCCCAGTGCAGCTCCCAGTTCAGCCCAGTGCGCTCCCAGTTCAGCCCAGTTCAGCCCAGTGCGCTCCCAGGGCACTCCCAGTTCAGCCCAGTGCGCTCCCAGTCCCCAGTTCAGCCCAGTTCAGCCCGGGGTGCTCCCGGGGCACTCCCAGTTCAGCCCAGTACGCTCCCAGTTCAAACCAGTTCAGCCCGGGGTGCTCCCGGGGCACTCCCAGTTCAGCCCAGTGCGCTCCCAGTTCAGCCCAGTTCAGCCCGGGCATGCTCCCAGGGCACTCCCAGTTCAGCCCAGTGCGCTCCCAGTTCAGCCCAGTTCAGCCCTGGGTGCTCCCAGGGCACTCCCAGTGCGCTCCCAGTGCGCTCCCAGTGCCCTCCTACTCATTCCCAGTCGCTCCCAGTCCCTCCCAATCCCCTCCCAGTGCCTCCCAGTGCCCTCCCAGTGCCCTCCCAGTGCCTCCCAGTGCCTCCCAGTGCCTCCCAGTGCCCTCCCAGTGCCTCCCAGTGCCTCCCAGTGCCCTCCCAGTGCCTCCCAGTGCCTCCCAGTGCCCTCCCAGTCCCTCCCAGTGCCCTCCCAGTTCCTTCCAGTTCCTCCCAGTCCTCCCAGTCCCTCCCAGTGCCTCCCAGTCCCTCCCAGTGCCTCCCAGTGCCTCCTCCCAGTGCCTCCCAGTCCCTCCCAGTCCTCCAGTCCCTCCCAATCCCTCCAATCCCCTCCCAGTCGCTCCCAGTGCCTCCCAGTCCCCACAGAACACTCCAAACGCTTCATTTTCGTTATCCCAGTTTATTCCCAGTTTATTCCCAGTCTGTCCCAGTTCATCCCCGTTTGATGACGGCTCGGATCCAGCTCCTGGCCCGGCACACGTTGGAGTCCCAGTGCCTCCCAGTGCCTCCCAGTGCCCTCCCAGTGCCTCCCAGTGCCTCCCAGTGCCCCTCCCAGTTGTTTCCGGCTTCCCTCCCACTCCTTCCCAGTGCCTCCCAGTGCCTCCCAGTGCCTCCCAGTGCCCTCCCAGTGCCTCCCAGTGCCTCCCAGTGCCCCCCAATCGCCACCAGAGCACTCAGAGATGTCAATTTTCGATCTCCCAGTTTATTCCCAGTTCATTCCCAGTTCATCCCCGTTTGATGACGGCTCGGATCCAGCTCCTGGCCCGGCTACGTTGGAGTCCCAGTGCCTCCCAGTGCCTCCCAGTGCCTCCCAGTGCCTCCCAGTGCCCTCCCAGTGCCTCCCAGTGCCTCCCAGTGCCTCCCAGTGCCTCCCAGTGCCTCCCAGTGCCTCCCAGTGCCTCCCAGTGCCCCTCCCAGTGCCTCCCAGTGCCTCCCAATCCCCTCCCAGTGCCCTCCCAATCCCCTCCCAGTCGCTCCCAGTGCCTCCCAGTGCCCTCCCAGTGCCTCCCAGTGCCTCCCAGTCCTCCCAGTGCCCTCCCAGTGCCTCCCAGTGCCCTCCCAGTCCTCCCAGTTCCTCCCAGTTCATCCCAGTCCTCCCAGTGCCTCCCAGTGCCTCCCAGTGCCTCCCAGTGCCTCCCAGTGCCTCCCAGTCCTCAGTGCCTCCCAGTGCCTCCCAGTGCCTCCCAGTCCTCCCAGTCCCTCAGTGCTCCAGTGCCTCCCAGTGCCTCCCAGTCCCTCCCAGTCCTCCCAGTCCTCCCAGTGCCTCCCAGTGCCCTCCCAGTGCCTCCCAGTGCCTCCCAGTGCCTCCCAGTCCCCTCCCAGTCCTCCCAGTCCTCCCAGTGCCTCCCAGTGCCCCCAATCCCCTCCCAGTCGCTCCCAGTGGTTCCCAGCCCCCACAGAACACTCCAGTCAGTCCGTATTTCATCTCCCAGTTTATTCCCAGTTCATTCCCAGTTCATCCCCGTTTGATGACGGCTCGGATCCAGCTCCTGGCCCGGCACACGTTGGAGTCCCAGTGCCTCCCAGTGCCCTCCCAGTGCCTCCCAGTGCCCTCCCAGTGCCTCCCAATCCCCTCCCAGTGCCTCCCAGTGCCTCCCAGTGCCTCCCAGTGCCTCCCAGTGCCCTCCCAGTCCCTCCCAGTGCCTCCCAATCCCCTCCCACTCCCTCCCAATCCCCTCCCAGTGCCTCCCAGTGCCCTCCAATCCCCTCCCAGTCCCTCCCAGTGCCTCCCAGTGCCTCCCAATCACACCAGACACTCCAGATGTTCATTTCATCTCCCAGTTTATTCCCAGTTTATTCCCAGTCCGTCCCAGTTCATCCCCGTTTGATGACGGCTCGGATCCAGCTCCTGGCCCGGCACACGTTGGAGTCCCAGTGCCTCCCAGTGCCTCCCAGTGCCTCCCAGTGCCTCCCAGTGCCTCCCAGTGCCCTCCCAGTGCCTCCCAGTGCCTCCCAGTGCCCTCCCAGTGCCTCCCAGTGCCTCCCAGTGCCTCCCAGTGCCCTCCCAGTGCCTCCCAGTGCCCTCCCAGTGCCTCCCAGTGCCCCCCAGTGCCCTCCCAGTGCCTCCCAGTGCCTCCCAGTGCCTCCCAGTGCCCCTCCCAGTTCCTTCAGCTTCCCTCCCAGTCCCTCCCAGTGCCTCCCAATCCCTCCCAGTGCCCCTCCCAGTTCCTTCTAGCTTCTCCTCCCAGTGCCTCCCAGTGCCTCCCAGTCCCTCCCAGTGCCTCCCAATCCCTCCCAGTCCCTCCCAGTCCCTCCCAGTGCCCTCCCAGTGCCCCCAATCCTCCCAGTCGCCTCCCAGTGCCTCCCAATCGCCACCAGAGCACTCAGATCTGTTCATTTTCGATCTCCCAGTTTATTCCCAGTTTATTCCCAGTCCGTCCCAGTTCATCCCCGTTTGATGACGGCTCGGATCCAGCTCCTGGCCCGGCACACGTTGGAGTCCCAGTGCCTCCCAGTGCCTCCCAGTGCCTCCCAGTGCCTCCCAGTGCCTCCCAGCTCCCTCCCAGTCCCTCCCAGTGCCTCCCAGTACCTCCCAGTGCCTCCCAGTGCCCTCCCAGTGCCTCCCAGTGCCCTCCCAGTCCCTCCCAGTCCTTCCCAATCCCCTCCCAGTGCCTCCCAGTGCCTCCCAGTGCCTCCCAGTGCCCTCCCAGTGCCTCCCAGTGCCTCCCAGTGCCCTCCCAGTGCCTCCCAGTGCCTCCCAATCCCCTCCAATCCCCTCCCAGTGCCTCCCAGTGCCCCTCCCAGTTCTTTCAGCTTCCCTCCCAGTCCCTCCCAGTGCCTCCCAGTGCTACCCAATGCCTCCCAGTGCCTCCCAGTGCCTCCCAGTGCCTCCCAGTGCCTCCCAGTGCCCTCCCAGTGCCTCCCAGTGCTCCCAGTGCCCTCCCAGTGCCTCCCAGTGCCCTCCCAGTCCCTCCCAGTGCCTCCCAGCTCCTCCCAGTCCTCCAGTCCTCCCAGTGCCTCCCAGTGCCTCCCAATCCCCTCCCAGTGCCCTCCCAGTGCCTCCCAGTGCCTCCCAGTGCCTCCCAATCCCTCCCAATGCCTCCCAGTGCCTCCCAATCGCCTCCCAGTGCTCTCCCAGTGCCTCCCAGTGCCTCCCAGTGCCTCCCAGTCCCTCCCAGTGCCTCCCAATCCCTCCCAGTGCCTCCCAGTGCCTCCCAGTGCCTCCCAATCCCCTCCCAGTGCCCTCCCAGTGCCTCCCAGTGCCTCCCAGTGCCTCCCAGTGCCCTCCCAGTGCCTCCCAGTGCCTCCCAGTCCCCTCCCAGTTACAGCCCAGTTACCCCAGTGTGCACAGAGTGGGGAGGGCGGAACTGGAAACGGCCTGGAAATACACCAGTAACACCAGTTAGGGACCAGTTAGAGACCAGTTAGAGACACCCTAGATAGCCCTGAGATAGCCCAGTTACATCCCAGTTACCCCAGTGTGCACAGAGTGGGGAGGGCGGAACTGGAAACGGCCTGGGAATTGGGATAGAAACCAGTTAGAGACCAGTATAGACCAGTTAGAGACACCCTAGATAGCCCAGTTACATCCCAGTTACATCCCAGTTACCCCAGAGATAAACCAGTTACACCCCAGTTTGCACAGAGTGGGGGGGGCGGAACTGGAAACGGCCTGGGAAACCAGTTAGGGACCAGTTAGGGACCAGTTACACCCCAATGTGCACAGAGTGGGGGGGGCGGAACTGGAAACGGCCTGGGAAAACACCAGTAACACCAGTTAGGGACCAGTTAGAGACCAGTTAGAGATAGCCTAGACACTCTAGAGATCCCCAGTTACATCCCAGTTACCCCAGATATAAACCAGTTACACCCCAGTGTGCACGGAGTGGGGGGGGCGGAACTGGAAACGGCCTGGAAAAAACCAGTAACACCAGTTAGAGACCAGTTAGAGACCAGTTAGAGACCAGTTAGAGACCAGTTAGAGATAGCCTAGACACCCTAGAGATCCCCAGTTACAGCCCAGTTACATCCCAGTTACATCCCAGTTACCCCAGTTTGCACAGAGTGGGGGGGGCGGAACTGGAAATGGCCTGGAAAACACCAGTAACACCAGTTAGGGACCAGTTAGGGACCAGTTACAGCAGTTATACATAGACTACATAGCCCTGAGAGAGCCCTGAGATAGCCCAGTTACATCCCAGTTACATCCCAGTGACACCCCAGTGTGCACAGAGTGGGGGGGGCGGAACTGGAAACGGCCTGGAAACCAGTTAGGGACCAGTTAGAGACCAGTTAGAGATAGCCTAGACACCCTAGAGATCCCCAGTTATATCCCAGTTACATCCCAGTTACAGCCCAGTTACCCCAGTGTGCACAGAGTGGGGGGGGCGGAACTGGAAACGGCCTGGAAAAACACCAGTAACACCAGTTATAGACCAGTTACACCCCAGTGTGCACGGAGTGGGGGGGGCGGAACTGGAAACGGCCTGGGGAGACACCAGTAACACCAGTTAGGGACCAGTTACATCCCAGTTACACCCCAGTGTGCACAGAGTGGGGGGGGCGGAACTGGAAACGGCCTGGAAAAAACCAGTTAGGGACCAGTTAGAGACCAGTTAGAGACCAGTTATACATAGCCTACATAACCCTAAAATACCCCTCAGATAGCCCTGAGATAGCCCAGTTACAGCCCAGTTACATCCCAGTTACCCCAGTTACACCCCAGTGTGCACAGAGTGGGGGGGGCGGAACTGGAAACGGCCTGGGGAGACACCAGTAACACCAGTTAGGGACCAGTATAGACCAGTAACAGCAGTTAGAGATAGCCTAGACACCCTAGAGATCCCCAGTTACAGCCCAGTTACAGCCCAGTTACCCCAGAGATAAACCAGTGCCACCCCAGTGTGCACAGAGTGGGGGGGGCGGAACTGGAAACGGCCTGGGGAGACACCAGTAACACCAGTTAGAGACCAGTATAGACTATTAACACCAGTTAGAGATAGCCTACAGATCCCCAGTTACAGCCCAGTTACAGCCCAGTTACATCCCAGTTACATCCCAGTTACACCCCAGTGTGCACAGAGTGGGGGGGGCGGAACTGGAAACGGCCTGGAAATACACCAGTAACACCAGTTAGGGACCAGTTAGGGACCAGTTAGACCAGTTAGAGACCAGTTACACCCCAGTGTGCACAGAGTGGGGGGGGCGGAACTGGAAACGGCCTGGAAATACACCAGTAACACCAGTTAGGGACCAGTAACAGCAGTATAGACCAGTTATACATAGCCCTGAGATAGCCCAGTTACCCCAGTGTGCACAGAGTGGGGGGGGCGGAACTGGAACCAGCCTGGGAAACCAGTTAGGGACCAGTATAGACCAGTTATACATAGCCTACAGATCCCCAGTTACATCCCAGTTACAGCCCAGTTACCCCAGAGATAAACCAGTGCCACCCCAGTGTGCACAGAGTGGGGGGGGCGGAACTGGAAACGGCCTGGAAATTGGGATAGAAACCAGTTAGGGACCAGTTAGGGACCAGTTACACCAGTTATACATAGCCCTGAGATAGCCCAGTTACCCCAGTGTGCACGGAGTGGGGGGGGCGGAACTGGAAACGGCCTGGAAACCAGTTAGGGACCAGTTAGAGACCAGTATAGACCAGTTAGAGACACCTAGATAGCCCAGTTACATCCCAGTTACATCCCAGTTATCCCAGTGACACCCCTGAGATAGCCCAGTTACATCCCAGTTACCCCAGTACCACCCCAGTGTGCACAGAGTGGGGGGGGTGGAACTGGAAACGGCCTGGAAAAAACCAGTAACACCAGTTAGGGACCAGTTAGAGACCAGTAATAGCAGTTATACATAGCCTACAGATCCCCAGTTACATCCCAGTTACATCCCAGTTACATCCCAGTTACCCCAGTGCCACCCCAGTGTGCACGGAGTGGGGGGGCGGAACTGGAAACGGCCTGGAAAACCAGTTAGGGACCAGTATAGACTATTAACACCAGTTAGAGATAGCCTACAGATCCCCAGTTACAGCCCAGTTACCCCAGAGATAAACCAGTTACACCCCAGTGTGCACAGAGGGGGGGGGTGGAACTGGAAACGGCCTGGGAACCAGTTAGGGACCAGTAGAGACCAGTAACACCAGTTAGAGAGCAGTATAGACCAGTTACACCAGTTAGAGACCAGTTAGAGACCAGTGACACCAGTTGGAGACCAGTAACACCAGTTAGACCAGTTAGAGACAGCCTAGAGATCCCCCAGTGACACCAGTTAGAGACCAGGTATACACCAGTGCCACCAGTTAGACACCAGTGACACCCCCAGTCCCTCCCAGTGCCTCCCAGTGACACCAGTGACTCCTCCAGTCCCTCCCAGTGCCTCCCAGTTACACCAGTGACCACCCCAGTGACACCAGTGACCCCCCCAGTCCCTCCCAGTGACACCAGTGACCACCCCAGTCCCTCCCAGTGACACCAGTGACCCCCCCAGTGACACCAGTGACCACCCCAGTCCCTCCCAGTGACACCAGTGACCCCCCCAGTGACACCAGTGACCACCCCAGTCCCTCCCAGTGACACCAGTGACCCCCAGTGACACCAGTGACCACCCCAGTCCCTCCCAGTGACACCAGTGACCCCCAGTGACACCAGTGACCACCCCAGTCCCTCCCAGTGACACCAGTGACCCCCAGTGACACCAGTGACCACCCCAGTCCCTCCCAGTGACACCAGTGACCCCCAGTGACACCAGTGACCACCCCAGTCCCTCCCAGTGACACCAGTGACCCCCAGTGACACCAGTGACCACCCCAGTCCCTCCCAGTGACACCAGTGACCCCCAGTGACACCCAGTGACCACCCCAGTCCCTCCCAGTGACACCAGTGACCCCCCCAGTGACACCAGTGACCACCCCAGTCCCTCCCAGTCCCTCCCAGTGACACCAGTGACCCCCCCAGTCCCTCCCAATCCCCTCCCAGTCATTCCCAATCCCCTCCCAGTCCCTCCCAGTACCCTCCCAGTGCTCCCAGACCCCTCCCAGTCCCTCCCAATCCCCTCCCAGTGCTATCCCAGTTGTTCCCAGTGCCCCCAATCCTCTCCCAGCCATTCCCAATCCCCTCCCAGTCATTCCCAGTGCCTCCCAGTCGTTCCCAGTGCTCCCAGTACCTTCCCCGTGTGCCACCCAGACGCCCAGGGTGCTCCCCTCCATCCCCCCAGTGCCTCCCAGTGCTTCCCAGTGCCCTCCCAGTGCTCCCAATCCCCTCCCAGTGCCCTCCCAATCCCCTCCCAGTGCTCCCAATCCCCTCCCAATCATTCCCAGTGCTCCCAATCCCCTCCCAGTCCCTCCCAATCCCCTCCCAGCCATTCCCAGTGCCTCCCAGTGCTCCCAGTACCTTCCCCGTGTGCCACCCAGACGCCCAGGGTGCTCCCCTCCATCCCCCCAGTGCCTCCCAGTGCCCTCCCAGTGCTCCCAATCCCCTCCCAGTCCCTCCCAATCCCCTCCCAATCATTCCCAGTGCCCTCCCAGTCCCTCCCTGTGCTCCCAGACCCCTCCCAGTCCCTCCCAATCCCCTCCCAGTTGTTCCCAGTGCTCCCAGTACCTTCCCCGTGTGCCACCGAGACGCCCAGGGTGCTCCCCTCCATCCCCCCAGGGCCTTCCCAGTGCCTCCCAGTGCCCTCCCAGTCCCTCCCAGTGCTCCCAGTACCCTCCTAATCATTCCCAATCCATTCCCAATCCCCTTCCAGTGCCCTCCCAGTCCCTCCCAGTTGTTCCCAGTGCTCCCAGTACCTTCCCCGTGTGCCACCCAGATGCCCAGGGTGCTCCCCTCCATCCCCCCAGTGCCTCCCAGTTGTTCCCACTGCTCCCAGTACCTTCCCCGTGTGCCACCCAGACGCCCAGGGTGCTCCCCTCCATCCCCAGTGCCTCCCAGTGCCCTCCCAGTGCCTCCCAGTGCTCCCAGTACCTTCCCCGTGTGCCACCCAGACGCCCAGGGTGCTCCCCTCCATCCCCCCAGTGCCTCCCAGTGCCTCCCAGTGCTCCCAGTACCTTCCCCGTGTGCCACCCAGACGCCCAGGGTGCTCCCCTCCATCCCCCCAGTGCCTCCCAGTGCCCTCCCAGTGCCTCCCAGTGCTCCCAGTACCTTCCCCGTGTGCCACCCAGACGCCCAGGGTGCTCCCCTCCATCCCCCCAGTGCCTCCCAGTGCCCTCCCAGTGCTCCCAGTACCTTCCCCGTGTGCCACCCAGACGCCCAGGGTGCTCCCCTCCATCCCCCCAGTGCCTCCCAGTTGCTCCCAGTACCTTCCCGTGTGCCACCCAGACGCCCAGGGTGCTCCCTCCATCCCCCAGTGCCTCCCAGTTGCTCCCAGTGCTCCCAGTACCTTCCCCGTGTGCCACCCAGACGCCCAGGGTGCTCCCCTCCATCCCCCCAGTGCCTCCCAGTGCCTCCCAGTGCTCCCAGTACCTTCCCGTGTGCCACCCAGACGCCCAGGGTGCTCCCCTCCATCCCCCCAGTGCCTCCCAGTTGCTCCCAGTACCTTCCCCGTGTGCCACCCAGACGCCCAGGGTGCTCCCCTCCATCCCCCCAGTGCCTCCCAGTTGCTCCCAGTGCTCCCAGTACCTTCCCCGTGTGCCACCCAGACGCCCAGGGTGCTCCCCTCCATCCCCCCAGTGCCTCCCAGTTGTTCCCAGTGCTCCCAGTACCTTCCCCGTGTGCCACCCAGACGCCCAGGGTGCTCCCCTCCATCCCCCCAGTGCCTCCCAGTGCTCCCAGTACCTTCCCCGTGTGCCACCCAGACGCCCAGGGTGCTCCCCTCCATCCCCCCAGTGCCTCCCAGTGCCCTCCCAGTGCTCCCAATCCCCTCCCAGTGCCTCCCAATCCCCTCCCAGTCCCTCCCAATCCCCTCCCAGTCATTCCCAATCCCCTCCCAGTTGTTCCCAGTGCTCCCAGTACCTTCCCCGTGTGCCACCCAGACGCCCAGGGTGCTCCCCTCCATCCCCCTCAGCATCAGGGCCGGGCCCGGCTCCACCCGCACGGTCACGAAGCGCGACTCGAACCGGCCCGACACGTTGGGGGTCAGAACCACGGCGGGGTCACCCCCATCTGAGGGACAGAGAGGGGACAATCAGGTGACAATCAGGTGACAATGAGGGGACACGAAGGGGACACAAAGGGGACAGTGAGGGGACAATGAGGGGAAATTGAGGGGACACAAAGGGGGGACACAAAGGGGACACTGAGGGAACACGAAGGGGACACGAAGCGCGACTCGAACCGGCCCGACACATTGGGGGTCAGAACCACGGCAGGGTCACCCCCATCTGAGGGGACAATGAGGGGACAATGAGGGGACAGTGAGGGGACAGTGAGGGGACAATGAGGGGACAGTGAGGGGACAGTGAGGGGACACAAAGGGGACAATGAGGGGACACAAAGGGGACAAGGAGGGGACAATGAGGGGACACAAAGGGGACACCCCCAGGGTCAGAACCACGGCAGGGTCACCCCCATCTGAGGGGACAGAGAGGGGACAATGAGGGGACAATGAGGGGACAGTGAGGGGACAATGAGGGGACAATGAGGGGACAGAGAGGGGACACAAAGGGGACACAAAGGGGACATGAAGGGGACACGAAGCATGACTCGAACTGGTCCGACACGTTGGGGGTCAGAACCACGGCCGGGTCACCCCCATCTGAGGGGACAGAGAGGGGACAGAGAGGGGACAGTGAGGGGACAATGAGGGGAAAATGAGGGGACACGAAGGGGACACAAAGGGGACAATGAGGGGAAAATGAGGGGACAGTGAGGGGACACAAAGGGGGGGCACAGGGGACATGAAGGGGACACGAAGCGCGACTCGAACCGGCCCGACACGTTGGGGGTCAGAACCACAGCGGGGTCACCCCCATCTGAGGGGACAATGAGGTGACAATCAGGGGACAGTGAGGGGACAGTGAGGGGACACAAAGGGGACAATGAGGGCACACAAAGGGGACACAAAGGGGACAATGAGGGGACAGTGAGGGGACAATGAGGGAACAGAGAGGGGACAATGAGGGGACACAAAGGGGACACCCCCGGGGTCAGAACCACGGCCTAGAGGGGAACCCCCGGGCCTTGTCCATGAGGGGACAGTGAGGGGACAATGAGGGGACAATGAGGGGACACAAAGGGGGGGCACAGGGGACACAAAAGGGACACCCCCGGGGTCAGAACCACAGCCCAGAGGAACCCCCGGGCCTCATCCATGAGGGGACAGTGAGGGGACAATGAGGGGACAATGAGGGGACAGTGAGGGGACAGTGAGGGGACAATGAGGGGACACAAAAGGGACTCAAAGGGGGGGCACAGGGGACAGTGTGGGGACACGAAGGGGACACAAAGGGGACACAAAGGGGACACAAAGCGCGACTCGAACCGGCCCGACACGTTGGGGGTCAGAACCACGGCAGGGTCACCCCACCTGAGGGACAGAGAGGGGACAATGAGGGGACAGTGAGGGGACAGTGAGGGGACAGTGAGGGGACAATGAGGGGACACAAAGGGGACAATGAGGGGACACAAAGGGGACACAAAAGGGACACGAAGCGCGACTCGAACCGGCCCGACACGTTGGGGGTCAGAACCACGGCGGGTCACACTGAGGGGACACAAAGGGGACAATGAGGGGACAGTGAGGGGACAATGAGGGGACAATGAGGGGACAAAGAGGGGACAATGAGGGGACAGTGAGGGGACAGTGAGGTGACAACGTGGGGACAACGAGGGGACAATGAGGGGACACAAAGGGGACAATGAGGGGACAATGAGGGGACAATGAGGGGACAATGAGGGGACAATGAGGGGACAGTGAGGGGACAATGAGGGGACAATGAGGGGACAGTGAGGGGACAATGAGGTGACAACGTGGGGACAACGAGGGGACAGTGAGGGGACAATGAGGGGACACAAAGGGGACAATGAGGGGACAGTGAGGGGACACGAAGGGGACAGAAAGGGGACACCCCCAGGGTCAGAACCGCGGCCTAGGGGGACCCCCCGGGCCTCGTCCATGAGGGGACAATGAGGGGACAATGAGGGGACACAAAGGGGACAATGAGGGGACAGTGAGGGGACAATGAGGGGACACAAAGGGGACACAAAGGGGACACGAGGGGACAAGAAGGGGACACGAAGGGGACACAAAGTGCAACTCGAAGTGGCCAGACACGTTGGGGGTCAGAACCACGGCAGGGTCACCCCCATCTGAGGGGACAATGAGGTGACAATCAGGTGACGATGAGGGGACAGTGAAGGGACAATGAGGGGACACAAAGGGTACAACCCCAGGGTCAGAACCGCGGCCTAGGGGGACCCCCGGGCCTCGTCCATGAGGGGACAATGAGGGGACACAAAGGGGACAATGAGGGGACAATGAGGGGACAATGAGGGGACAATGAGGGGACACAAAGGGGACACAAAGGGGACACCCCCGGGGTCAGAACTGCGGCCTAGGGGGACCCCCGGTCCTCGTCCATGAGGGGACAGTGAGGGGACAATGAGGGGACAGTGAGGGGACAATGAGGGGACAGTGAGGGGACAGTGAGGGGACAGTGAGGGGACAAGGAGGGGTCAATGAGGGGACAGAGAGGGGACAGTGAGGGGACAGTGAGGGGACACAAAGGGGACACCCCCGGGGTCAGAACTGCAGCCTAGGGGGACTCTCGGGCCTCGTCCATGAGGGGACAATGAGGGGACAATGAGGGGACACAAAGGGGACAATGAGGGGACACAAAGGGGACAATGAGGGGACAATGAGGGGACACAAAGGGGACAATGAGGGGACAATGAGGGGACAATGAGGGAACACGAAGGGGACACGAAGCGCTACTCGAACCGGCCCGACACGTTGGGGGTCAGGACCACGGCAGGGTCACCCCCATCTGAGGGGACAACGAGGTGACAATCAGGGGACAATGAGGGGACAATGAGGGGACACAAAGGGGACAGTGAGGGGACACAAAGGGGACAGTGAGGGGACAGTGAGGGGACACGAAGGGGACACCCCCGGGGTCAGAACTGCGGCCTAGGGGAACCCCCGGGCCTCGTCCATGAGGGGACAATGAGGGGACAATGAGGGGACAGTGAGGGGACAGTGAGGGGACAGTGAGGGGACACAAAGGGGACAGTGAGGGGACAATGAGGGGACAATGAGGGGACACAAAGGGGACAATGAGGGGACAATGAGGGGACAGTGAGGGGACACAAAGGGGACACAAAGGGGTCACAGGTGACACAGGGAGATGACAATTGACACTGGGGGGTGACAAATGACACTGGGGTGTGACACAGGGAGGTGACAGAGGTGACAAATGACACAAATGACACGGGGGGGTGACACTGACCTGTGTGGGGCCCCACCCATCCCAGCAGGGCCATCAGCTGGCACCCAGGGGGGACACTGGGGGGGTCACAAATGACACAGGGGTGACAATGAGGTGACAAATGACACAGGGGGGGTGACACTGACCTGTCTGGGGTCCCACCCACCCCAGCAGGGCCATCAGCTGGCACCCAGGGGGGGACACTGGGGGGGTGACAAATGACACAGGGGGGGTGACAGATGACACTGGGGTGACACTGGGGGGTGACAAATGACACTGGGGTGACACAGGAGGGTGACAAATGACACAAATGACACAGGGGAGGTGACAATGAGGTGACACTGACCTGTTTGGGGTCCCACCCACCCCAGCAGGGCCATCAGCTGGCACCCAGGGGGGACACTGGGGGAGTCCCAGGTGACAGAGGTGACACTGGGGTGACACAGGGGGGTGACAGAGGTGACAAATGACACTGGGGAGGTGACACTGAGGTGACAAATGACACTGGGGGGTGACAGGGGGGTGACAATGACCTGTCTGTGGCCCCACCCACCCCAACAGGGCCATCAGCTGGCACCCAGGGGGGACACTGGGGGGGTCCCAGGTGACAGAGGGGACACAGAGGGTGACACAGGGGGGTGACAGAGGTGACAAATGACACAGGGGAGGTGACACTGACCTGTCTGTGGCCCCACCCACCCCAGCAGGGCCATCAGCTGGCACCCAGGGGGGACACTGGGGGGGTGACAAATGACACTGGGGTGACACAGGGAGGTCCCAGGTGACACAGGAGGGTGACAAATGACACAGGTGACACAGGGGAGGTGACACTGAGGTGACACTGACCTGTCTGGGGTCCCACCCACCCCAGCAGGGCCATCAGCTGGCACCCAGGGGGGACACTGGGGGGGTGACAAATGACACTGGGGGGTGACAAATGACACTGGGGTGACAGAGGTGACAATGAGGTGACACAGGGGGGTGACACTGACCTGTCTGTGGCCCCACCCACCCCAGCAGGGCCATCAGCTGGCACCCAGGGGGGACACTGGGGGGGTGACAAATGACACTGGGGTGACACAGGGGGGTGACAAATGACACTGAGGTGACACAGGTGACAATGAGGTGACACTGGGGAGGTGACAATGAGGTGACACTGACCTGTCTGGGGTCCCCACCCACCCCAGCAGGGCCATCAGCTGGCACCCAGGGGGGACACTGGGGGGGTGACAAATGACACTGGGGTGACAAATGACACTGGGGTGACACAGGGGGGTGACAGAGATGACAAATGACACTGGGGAGGTGACACTGAGGTGACACTGACCTGTTTGGGGTCCCACCCACCCCAGCAGGGCCATCAGCTGGCACCCAGGGGGGACACTGGGGGGGTCACAAATGACACAGGGGTGACACAGGGGGGTGACAAATGACACAAATGACACTGGGGAGGTGACACTGAGGTGACACTGACCTGTCTGTGGCCCCACCCACCCCAGCAGGGCCATCAGCTGGCACCCAGGGGGGACACTGGGGGGGTCCCAGGTGACAGAGGTGACAATGAGGTGACACAGGGGGGTGACAGAGGTGACAGGTGACAATGAGGTGACACAGGGGGGGTGACACTGACCTGTCTGGGGTCCCACCCACCCCAGCAGGGCCATCAGCTGGCACCCAGGGGGGGACACTGGGGGGGGGTGACAGAGGTGACACTGGGGTGACACAGGGGGGTGACAAATGACACAGGTGACAATGAGGTGACACAGGGGGGTGACACTGACCTGTCTGGGGTCCCCACCCACCCCAGCAGGGCCATCAGCTGGCACCCAGGGGGGGACACTGGGGGGGTGACAAATGACACTGGGGGGTGACAAATGACACTGGGGGGGTGACAAATGACACTGGGGTGACACAGGTGACAATGAGGTGACACAGGTGACACAGGGGGGTGACAGAGGTGACAAATGACACAGGGGGGTGACAAATGACACAAATGACAATGAGGTGACACTGGGGGGGTGACACTGACCTGTCTGGGGTCCCACCCACCCCAGCAGGGCCATCAGCTGGCACCCAGGGGGACACTGGGGGTCCCAGGTGACAGAGGTGACACTGGGGGGACACAGGGGGGTGACAGAGGTGACAGGTGACAATGAGGTGACACAGGGGGGGTGACACTGACCTGTCTGTGGCCCCACCCACCCCAGCAGGGTCATCAGCTGGCACCCAGGGGGGGACACTGGGGGGGTCCCAGGTGACAGAGGTGACACTGGGGTGACACAGGGGGGGTGACACTGACCTGTCTGGGGTCCCACCCACCCCAGCAGGGCCATCAGCTGGCACCCAGGGGGGACACTGGGGGGGTCCCAGGTGACACAGGGGGGTGACAAATGACACTGGGGGGTGACACTGGTGACAATGAGGTGACACAGGTGACACAGGGGGGTGACACTGACCTGTCTGTGGCCCCACCCATCCCAGCAGGGCCATCAGCTGGCACCCAGGGGGGACACTGGGGGGGTGACAAATGACACTGGGGTGACACAGGGGGGTGACAAATGACACAAATGACAGAGGTGACAATAAGGTTACACTGGGAGGTGACACAGGTGACAATGAGGTGACACAGGGGGGTGACACTGACCTGTCTGGGGTCCCACCCACCCCAGCAGGGCCATCAGCTGGCACCCAGGGGGGGACACTGGGGGGGTGACAAATGACACTGGGGGGTGACAATGAGGTGACAAATGACACTGGGGTGACACAGGGGGGTGACACAGGTGACAGAGGTGACAAATGACACAGGGGGGGTGACACTGACCTGTCTGGGGTCCCACCCACCCCAGCAGGGCCATCAGCTGGCACCCAGGGGGGACACTGGGGGGGTCCCAGGTGACAGAGGTGACACTGGGGTGACACAGGGGGGTGACAAATGACACAAATGACACGGGGGGGTGACAGGTGACAATGAGGTGACACAGGGGGGGTGACACTGACCTGTCTGGGGTCCCACCCACCCCAGCAGGGCCATCAGCTGGCACCCAGGGGGGACACTGGGGGGGGTGACAAATGACACTGGGGGGTGACAGAGGTGACAAATGACACAGGGGAGGAGACAATGAGGTGACAAATGACACTGGGGGGTGACAGGGGGGTGACACTGACCTGTCTGTGGCCCCACCCATCCCAGCAGGGCCATCAGCTGGCACCCAGGAGGGGACACTGGGGGGGTCCCAGGTGACAGAGGTGACAATGAGGTGACACAGGGGGTGACAGAGGTGACAGGTGACAATGAGGTGACACAGGTGACATTGGGGGGTGACACTGACCTTGTTGTGGCCCCACCCATCCCAGCAGGGCCATCAGCTGGCACCCAGGGGGGACACTGGGGGGGTGACAAATGACACTGGGGTGACACAGGGGGGGTCACAAATGACACAGGGGGGTGACAGAGGTGACAGGTGACAATGAGGTGACACAGGGGGGGTGACACTGACCTGTCTGTGGCCCCACCCACCCCAGCAGGGCCATCAGCTGGCACCCATTGCAGACCCCCAAGCTGAAGGTGTCGGGGCGGCTCCGGAATCGCTCGAGGGCTCCTCGCACGTGGGGGTTGAAGCGAACGGCGGCCGCCCAGCCTGGGGAGTTTTGGGGGGAAAAAGAGGAAAAAAAGGAGGTTTTGGGAGGTTCAGGGGTGCATTTTGGGGGAGATTTGGGGGGTTTGGAGGTTTTTAGGGTGGGTTTTGGGGTGGGTTTTGGGGTGGATTTTGGGGAGATTTCAGGTTTTTTTGGGGTCTAGGAGTGGATTTGGGGTGTTTTGGGGTGGATTTCGGGGGGTCAGGGGTCTTTTTTTGGGGTTTTTGGGGAGGATTTGGGTGGATTTTGATGGATTTGGGGGTTTTTGGGGTGGATTTTGGGGGTTTTTGGCGGATTTTGAGATGGATTTGGGTGGATTTTGATGGATTTGGGGTGGATTTGAGGTGTTTTTAGGTGGATTTTGGGGGTTTTTGGGGGGTTTTGAGATGGATTTGGGTGGATTTTGATGGATTTGGGGTTTTTGGGGGTTTTTGAGATGGATTTGGGTGGATTTGGGGGGGTTTGGGGGTTCAGGGGTGGATTTGGGAAGGTTCTGGGGGTTTTTGGGGTGGATTTGGGGTTTTTTTGGGTTGGATTTTGGGTAGATTTGGGGGGTTTTGGGTTGGATTTTGGGAGGTTTTGGGCTATTTTGGTGGATTTTGGAGGGTTTTGGGGGGGATTTTGGGGGGTTTTGGGGGTTCAGAGGTGGATTTGGGGTGGTTTTGGGGGTTTTTGGGGTGGATTTTGGGGGGTTTTGAGATGGATTTTGGTCGATTTGGGTGGATTTTGATGGATTTGGGGGTTTAAGGGGTGGATTTTGGGGGGTTTTTGGGGGGTTTTGAGATGGATTTTGAGGGATTTTGGGGGTTCAGAGGTGGATTTGGGATGGTTTTGGGGGTTTTTGAGATGAATTTTGGGGGTTTTTGGGGTGTTTTGAGATGGATTTTGGTCGATTTGGGTGGATTTTGATGGATTTGGGGGTTTTTGGGGTGGATTTTGGGGGTTTTGGGGGTTTTTGGGGTGTTTTTAGGTGGATTTTGGGGGGTTTTGGGGGTTCAGAGGTGGATTTGGGATGGTTTTGGGGGTTTTTGGGGTGGGTTTTGGGAGTTTTTGGGGGGTTTTGAGATGGATTTGGGTGGATTTTGATGGATTTGGGGGTTTCTGGGGTGTTTTGAGATGGATTTGGGTGGATTTTGATGGCTTTGGGGGTTTTTGGGGTAGGTTTTGGGGGTTTTGGGGGTTTTTGGGGTGGATTTTGGGGGGATTTTGGGATTCTGAGGTGGATTTGGGATGGTTTTGGGGGTTTTTGGGGTGTTTTGAGATGGATTTGGGTGGATTTTGATGGATTTTGGGGGTTTTTGGGATGGGTTTTGGGAGGTTTTGGGCTATTTTGGTGGATTTTGGAGGGTTTTGGGGTGGATTTTGGGGGGTTTTGGGAGTTCAGAGGTGGATTTGGGGTGGTTTTGGGGGTTTTTGGGGTGGATTTTGGGGGGTTTTGAGATGGATTTTGGTCGATTTTGGTGGATTTTGATGGATTTGGGGGTTTTTGGGGTGGAGTTTGGGGGTTCTGGGGGTTTTTGGGGTGGATTTGGGGAGTTTTTGGGGGGTTTTGAGATGGATTTTGGTCGATTTGGGTGGATTTTGATGGATTTTGGGGGTTTTTTCTCACCTTTGGCCGAGCCCAGGACGTCGGCGTAGCTGAAACCGCCCACGAAGACGAGACCCCGAAACCCGTCCAGGGTCAGGGAGGACGAGCTCAGGTCCTGGGTGGTCACGTCCCACACCTGGGGGGGGCACCCCAAAAGTCAGAACTCACCAAAAATCACCCCAAAAACCTCCTAAAATTACCTCAAAACCCTCCCAAAAAACCCATCCTAAAAACACCCCAAAAAAACCTAAAAAAGCCCTAAAAAAACCCTCAAAACCCACCCCAAAAACCTCCTAAAACTACCCCAAAAACCTCCCAAAAAACCCACCCCAAAAAACCCTAAAAAACTCCTAAAAACCCACCCCAAAAACCTCCCAAAAAACCCTAAAAAAGCCCTAAAAAAACCCTCAAAACCCACCCCAAAACCTCCTAAAAACCCAAAACTCCCAAAAAACCCTCAAAATCACCCTAAAACCCCTAAAAACCACCCCAAAAATCAACCCAAAAAATCCCAAAACACCCCAAAAACCTCTCAAAACCCCTCAAAAATCACCCCAAAAATCCCCAAACACCCCAAAAACCTCCCAAAACCCCTCAAAAATCACCCCAAAAACCCTCCAAAATCACCCCAAAACCACCCCAAAAACCTCAAAAATCACCCAAAACCCCTCAAAATCACCCTAAAACCCCTCAAAACCACCCCAAAAACCCTCCTAAAATCCCCAAACTCCGTCAAAAATCACCCTAAAACCTCTCAAAAATCACCAAAAATCACCCCAAAAACCTCCCCAAAACACCCCCAAAAAACCCTCAAAAACCTCCCAAAAAAACCCTCAAAAATCACCCCAAAAACCTCCCAAAACCCACCCCAAAAACCCCTCAAAAATCACCCCAAAAAATCCCCAAACACCCCAAAAACCTCCCCAAAACCCCTCAAAAATCACCCCAAAAACCCCTCAAAAATCACCCCAAAACCCTCAAAAATCACCCCAAAAAGACCCCAAAGCCCACCCCAAAAAAATCCCAAAACACCCCAAAAACCTCCTAAAACCACCCCAAAAAGACCCCAAAAAACCCTAAAAACGCCCTAAAAAACCCACCACCAAAAAATCCCAAAAACCACCCCAAAAAACCCTAAAAAACCCCCCTAAAACCACCCCAAAAAACCCTCTCAAAAGCACCCCAAAAACCTCCCAAAAAACCCTAAAAAAGCCCTAAAAAGCCACCCCAAAACCCCGAGCTCAGGTCCTGGGTGGTCACGTCCCACACCTGGGGGGGGCACCCCAAAAGTCAGAACTCACCAAAAACCACCCCAAAAACCTCCCCAAAACCTCCTAAAACTACCCCAAAATCCCCATCCCAAAAAAACCCCTAAAAACATCCCAAAACCCCTCAAAAATCACCCCAAAACCCCTCAAAAATCACCCCAAAACCCCTCAAAAATCACTCCACAAACCTCAAAAATCACCCCAAAACCCCCTCAAAAATCACTCCAAAAACCTCAAAAATCACCCCCAAACCTCCCAAAAATCACTCCAAAAACCCCTCAAAAACCTCCCCAAACCACCCCAAAAACCTCCTCAAAAACCACCCCAATAAACCCTCAAAAATCACCCCAAAACCTCTCAAAAATCACCCCAAACCACCCCAAAACCCCTCAAAACCCACCCCAAAAATCCCAAAACACCCCAAAACCTCCCAAAACCACCCCAAAATCACCCCAAAAACCCCTCAAAAATCACCCCAAAACCCCTCAAAAATCACTCCAAAACCTCTCAAAAATCACCCCAAAAAGACCCCAAAACCCACCCCAAAACCCCCTCAAAAACCACCCCAAAAAACCCTCAAAAATCACCCCAAAAACCCCAAAAACCACCCAAAAAACCCTCCAAAATCCCCCCAAAGCCCTCAAAAATGACCCCAAAAACCCCTCAAAAATGACCCCAAAAACCCCTCAAAAATCACCCCAAAAACCCCTCAAAAATCACCAAAAATTACCCCAAAAAACCCTAAAAACCCACCCCAAAAAATCCCAAAAACCACCCCAAAAACCTCCCAAAAAATTCTCCAAAATCACCCCAAAAACCTCCCAAAATCACCTCAAAACTCATCCCAAAACACCCCAAAAACC